CAACTCGTTTAAGTGAAGTGCCCTTGATGCGATAATCGAACAATATCGGTTGTTTTGAACGATGAAAGTTCATAACAGAGCACTTCGGTACACTAATAATTAACTTGTTCCGATGGCACCAGTCAGAAAATAGGTGTAGAAGATGTTGCAAACGGTGGCAATCTTCAGTTGAGCGCATAACTAAATATATTTTCAGGTCATCGGCGTAGATGATCACGCAGTCCAAGCCTAATTTCGAAGCAACGTCGTTGAAAAACAGTGTGGACAATAATGGTCCCAAGTTGCTTCCTTGGTGAACACCGGATGTATTGCAGAAGGTCAAAGAAACACAGGAGAGTTTCCTTCCCGTTAGGTAAGAGTTCAGCCAAGACACTAGCTTAGAGCATGATCCAAGACGTGACAGTTTAGCCAACAGCACATTGTGATCGATCTTGTCGAAAGCCGCCTTCAGGTCAGTATAGATGACATCAACTTGAGCCTTGCTTTCCATAGCAGTTATGCAAGTGTTGGTGAAGCTTAGTAGATTCGTCGTGACCGATCTTCCAGGCATAAAACCGTGTTGAACGGTAGAAATATAGCTGTGCGACTGGCGTAGAATCATATCGCTGACAATTATTTCAAACAGCTTTGACGCAGCTGATAAGCTCGTTATTCCTCTGTAGTTCCTGACCATTTTTGATGACGGGAAACATAAATGACTGCTTCCATACCTCAGGAAAAACCCCTTCATCGAGTGACCGGGTGAAAATTGCAGACAGTGGCTCAACTAAGTCAACAGCACAGCGGCAAAACAAAATCGATGGTATAACGTCGGGACCAGCAGAAAGCGAACTTTTCAACTTTTTGGCAGCAGATATGATCATTGCAGGAGTAAATGCGAATGTCGACAGACTAATGAAGTCCATGGGAATGTCTAAAGCAGCAGACTCAGCTTCAATTTCAGAGACAGGAGTTTGGTCAAACACAGAAGCAAAAAATCTGGCAAACAGTTCGCAGCTTTCAGTAGAAGATTTCGCTTCGACGTCGTCAAAAATCACGTTGCTCGGTACAGATGAACTTTTCCGTTTACTATTGACGAACTTCCAAAAGCTTTTTGGATTTCTCCGAAGATTAGTCTGCACTCTCATGACATGAGCCTTGTACAAAGCTGAATTCAAATTGCGATACGCCTTACTAGCACGTTGGAATCCAATCTTGCAAGCCAAGATTACAGATGGCCATCTGATCGTTTTGTCTTCCAAAGGTCTTCAATAAAGCTGATTCACTCTGCTGCAACAAACCATCAGGTAGAACTTTACAACCGGTAAAGTATCTGCAGACATTGGTAATCCTTGCACTGATGGTGGGTTCCATTCACATCACATCACATCACATCACATTTACTTTCAAAAATAAAAAAAAAGTTAGTTTATCTATAGCAATAATTTGAGAACCACCCTAATTTAAAAACGGCTAAAAGAAGGAGCATTTTAAGCTGAAAAAGTTCGTAGAAGACGCTAAACCTCTAAAACTTAAGATTAAAGCACACGGACTTTTGTCTTGCTAGATTCCCTTCCTGGACAACTAATGTGCCGTGGACTCAACCTATCAACACTCTGAAGTTGCCCCATAAGATCTTAAGAAGATTACTCACAAAGCTTTTGCTGAACACGAGTCCTCTGGTCTGATCCAATAAATCTTTGTAAGACTCATAACGTGACTCATTAAATCGATACAATTCAGTGAAACTAGAAGACCCTATGAATTTTTGGAGCGATTGCATATTGATATTTACGTTTTCAAAGTTGTTAAATAGGTTAAAAGTGAGGTTACGCGACGCCATTGCCCACGACAACTTCTAAGTTAACCAACTCGTAAGGCTCCTGGAGCCTTACTGATAAGCGGAACACTTTACAGACGACGGCTACGGTGACCTTCTAATCCAAAGGGTCGAATTCTCTGAGATCGTGGTAACGTCTGCAATGTGATCAAATTTCATCGAAGATCGGGCTAGGACAGGTAGAGTTTACTGAGTATCTGGGGTCCTGAAATCTTGATGCGCTATACTTCGTTGGTACTCAGTTCAATGGGTGATTCTTTGCGGCTTACACTTCTCAATGACGACCTAGCGGCGTTGGATAATTAGCCTTGACCTCCCATCTTTCGTTGATACAGGTAGCGGCTTCCTTTCCAGACAGTTTTGAAGCTGACATAAATAAGGGTAACTCCACCGAACACAATCTCACTTTAACGGGCCTGCAAGATCTGAACTTCTTTCCTGTTCTTGTGGGGACTTACTTTAAAAAAAAAAATCGTTTTCACTTTGAAGAAACGGAAGTGTGGAAAATAACAAACCAACACTGGCAAAATCATCACACTCAAAGCTAGTGCCAATTGCGCACACTTGGCACCAGTTTTTGGCCACACTATAAAGTCATGAGATTAAGTGGAAAATCGTATTAATTCACATTTCATGATAATAATTGAACTCATCGATTGTGAAAAATATGATGATGACAATATCGTGAACCAAAATTTCCGCTTATTAGCCGTTTGGCTAAGAAAGCGACCTTCACTATTTGAAAGTTAATTTCAAGACGCTGAAATGAAGCATTATAAAACTGAAATTTTGTATAACATGTTTTAACTATGTTGCTATATTGAAATTTACAGTGTCCCAAAGCCCAATTCACACATGTCATCTTACAATTCGTTGTAATTCTCACTAGAGCAAAATACTGGAGCTAGGGCTAACACTGGCTCACCTACCCAATTACCTCCTTGGGTCTCTTTAGTTATTCCAAGAGATATTTAGAGTTGGTCGAAAATGTTTCATGGCATTGACAATAGTCTCAACCGATACCGCCTACGCGATGGACATATTTTTTAACATATCTGAACTTAATCCATAGGACCTCTGAAGCCGATCTCTTAAAAGTTAACCTAAAAGATATTTAAAGTTGGTTCATACGCCTTGCTTAGCTCAGTTGATCAAGGCGCAGCTACAAAGCAAGACCATACTGGAGGTGGCTGGGTTCGATTTTCGGTCCAGTCTAGGAATTTTCCGGGTTGGAAAATTTCTCGCCTTCACTTGGCATAGAGCGAAGACTACAAATCAAGAAGACTGGCAACTGTTCCCTTCTCCCATACAAATGCCAAACGTCACTGATAGCAGCGCCTCTGTCAATCAAAGGTGGAACTTTGAAGCACAAGTGTTAGTGAGACTGCTCATAAACAGTGACTGTGTGTGTGTGTGACCTAATGTCACCGAAACGAATAATCATAACACGGTAGGTACTCGTTGTTGTTTTTGTTTTGCTCTACAACATTTCACGGCAATTTGTAAGCTAATCACAGCAAGCTGGTGGTTTTCCTACTCCAAACCGAAAAACTTGTCATGGTGGATCAAGTAGAGGATTGAAACTCGGATCGATGCCTAGTGAAAGTTACTTTTACTTGTGTACGATGAACCGAAATATTGTTTACTGTGCCTGTTGGAAACAATCAATTATAAGGAATTGGCGGCTTCCACCTCCGTTGAGTGAACTACCGTCATTCGGAAGCTGCTGAAAATTCAAGGATCCAAAAAGAAGAAAGCAAGCGTAACTATTCAAATCGACGTATCTGATGAGACATTTATGAGGGGTCGTAGAGTTCTCTGCATCTCTCTTAAGTAAATGTTGGACTAACATACCTTTCTTATCCCTACCAGCTGTAAGGACGTGGCCAGGACAATTCTTAACTGTGACATTCAAATGGTCAGTGAGTACTGTGCCAAGTTGCCGAGTGTCACAACTTAACTCCCCCCGCTGTGGCCAGGTGCCAAAGCCGTGCGGAACGGGCGTGCATTTTACTAATGCACCATACGAAAGCCCATAAATGCATCACTAAAGGGCTTAGGAAAAGTGGAAGGTCCCACCATCATTGTGCATGGCATCACTGCCATAGTTTTAATTTTCAATACTTTACTGACGCATCTGTTCAATTTCAGCTGGTTGTCAGCAGAAAGCAAAGAAAGAATCGTTTCACTTTTTACGACAATCATAAGAAAACCAATAATTGACAGCTATTTATTTCTACCTATGTGTGTGAATGCATGCGTGAATTAACACACCCAATCATACACTGTCTCCACTTTTGCTCAGAAGAGGCGTTGCCGTTACTGTCTCCTGATTTTTGGCAGAGTTGCCAGTCTTCTTGATTTGTAGTCTTCGCATAGAGTTAGGATTGTACTTGCCACACAATTATACTAATGCAAAAATGGTACAGTCATCGAAAGCTCTCTATTAACACCTGTGGAAGTGCATCTAGAATACTAAGTTGAGAGTACGCAATATGCTAATAATATTATGCGATAAGCAATAAGCTTGAAATGCTAGGAAGAAGAAATAGTTGATTCATATGGTTTCTGGACTCAGCTCACAAGGCCAGTAAAGAGAAAACCAAAAAGTCATCCGGAGTTGTTCCATAAGAGCTCTGAAGATGAACAACAATGCTTTTTAACTAACTTCTAAAGCCTCTGAACATGATCCATCTGAAATAACAAACATTGACTCACAAGACCAGTACACTTAATAATCAGATCGATGAAGAATAAGGGGCGGTCTACAAACAACGTGTACAATTTTTGAGAGGTTTTAGACAGTGCTCCACAGTGCTCAAACGATCATTGGCGTAACTAAGAAAAAATCCTGGGGGGGGGGTTGCTAAATTTATGTTTCGAACTTATCACTTAGGCAATTAGCGAACAATTTTGATGTGCATGGAAAATAAGTAATTGTAGTAACAATTCTAGAGGGCTACATTAGTCCAAGGTGTCCCAAATTAGGTCCTGATTAGAGACGGTCTAGTATAAGAGAGGAGGCATAGGTTGTCAAGGCAGTTTGTTTAGAATCCGCTCCTCTCTTATACTAGACCCTCCACAGTCCTGATCGTCCTCCCAACCAACATTTGCACTCATGTGGTTGGAAACTGATTTACCAAAAACCATATGGAAATTACAGTGGGCAAATCAAACTCACCTGTTTCTTAAAGTGGATGATCTCCTCGGGCGTCAGCGTGTCGGCTTTGGCAATGACCGGAATGATATTGACCTTGTCGCACAGCCGCTGCATAAACTCGATGTCCAACGGCTTCAAGCCATGCCCCGACGGGGCGATAAAGTACAAACACACGTGTACTCGCGAGTCCGGAATCGCTGTCCGGTGGACCCGCGATTCCGCCGTCAGGTACTCTTCGTACTTGTTCTCGACAAACTCCACGATCGGGACCCAGCTGTTGCAAAGACAAGATAAACGGGGGGGGGAAACATAAGTTAGAACCGTTCTTTAGACTTCCAATTAATTCAAAGACCTACCAGTTACTGTTATCGACGGCCGTACCGAAACCGGGGGTATCCACGACCGTCAGCATCAGGTTGACGCCGTTCTCTTTGAGTAATACTTTCGTGCCCTCCACTGTCACCGTTTTCTTGATTCGCTTCGACGGACCCGGATGCTGCTCCGGATGGTACACATCCGATAGGAACATCGAGTTGATTAGAGTGGACTTGCCGAGGCCAGCTTCACCTATGGAAAGATGTTCGTACGATTCAGTTACAATCAATGTTGATCGATTGTTTAAGAGTAGCAATTCCGAAACCTACCGACGACCATCAGCGTGAACTCGAAGCCCTTCTTCACTGCCTTCCGGTACACCTGATTCGGTAGATTGGCAAACCCGACGTATCCGTCCAGCTCTTTGGGTTTCGATTTGACCACGGGCTTCTCCTTTTCGTGCCGTTCGTTGAGAATTTTGTTCGAATCGTGGTGTCCATTGTTCTGCATCAGCCCGTCGTGGTGATTGTTGGCATTCAGGATTGCGTCACGTTTCTCTTTTAACGAAATATTGGTTAAACTGTTGGCTAGCCCATTGACGCTGGTGCCATTGCTTGTGACGCTGTTGTGATTGTTGTTGTTGTTGTTGTTATTGTTGTTGTTGTTGTTCATGTTAGTGACGTTAGGTCCGATGGAGCTGTTAGTAGTATGCGAGTTAATTGAATGCTTATCGCTGCTGGCATTGTTTAGATGCGATGCGCTGTTATTCTACAAGGGGGGAAAAAACATAATTGTGAGAACCAGTTATCGTGGTGGTATGTACGTGGACGCGAGACTACCAGACCAGCCAAGGCTAGCTGGAGATGATGGAATGTGGGGTGATGCGTGTGTGTGAGAGGCTAGCTAGCGAGATGCTTGTTCTTATCAGAATATTAAGAAAGTGTATTGATGTATCAGACGTCACAATTCCATACGGCCTCGAGCGAATAAAGCGAGTTAATTAATTTGTATGGGGTGAGTGGCATCAGTTGTAATATTAGGTCATACTTGTGTACTACGCAGTGAACAGGAATAATATGCCATACTTCGAATCACTTGAAATTTTACCTAGAAGAGGATTCCATCTTGTATCTTTAGTTATTATAATTTAGTTGTTATACAAATCTTATACAAGTTTCGGACAACCCTTCAATGCGAAAACCCTATATAGGACAACCCTATAGTAGAATATAAGGGGTCGTATCAATAAAAAGTGATTATGTTGGAGGGTGAGGTGTCGGAATCTTCTACGCTGAATGTAGATATTTATGCCGTCTTCGATTATTCATTAAAATCTGAATACGTAGGTTTTTCGACTGCAATGCATAGTCTAAAACCCAAAAATCGTGATCGTTTGAGATTTGAGTGGAAAAACATGATTGTAAGCATGTGGTGTCTTCGGGGAAGTTCTTGGAAATTGAAAGATTTACTTGTTTTTTTATTAATCACCCTAGAAGGGAGATGAAAAATCTTTTTTTTTTTTCAATGTTAATGCAAAATTGTAGAACATATTATTACAAGAAAGTTTTTTGAAGACATTAACTTTCTATGTGCCCGTTTATAGCCTTGCGAGGCATAACAGACCCATTGGCATTTTTGGCGAAAATGAGTTATACATTGGAATCGATTCTCAAATGCCATCGCTTTACAATGTACACGAAAAGTGTCCTACTTTGTTCAGAAAATGATGATAGTGGTCTACCACTATCTGAAGCACGGAAACTAGTCCGATGACTGTGGGTTCTCCTCACTGAGGATGGATTGCCTTATAATTTCCTTGGAACAGTTAAGAATCTCCTACCAACAACTTGATCAGACAATTGGTTAGAAAACGAGCCATCCAACAGGAAGATGCCCCAATGAAAGGGGAAAAGAGACGGCCCTTTATCCACGAAATGTTAGCAACAGGGAGTTGACATCTTCACTCTCCCCACTCAAATCGCTTCAATTGATGGATGAAAATTTCCCGAAAAATACCAAAACTATGTTTTCCCATCCATAAGAGCCCGCCCATGGAGAGAAAAATCTTTAACAGAGTTGTTTTTCTCAGCTTTCTGTTTTAACAAATGGGACAACTCAGGGCTGGTAGCGATCACTGCCATCAAAAACAGTGATTTTAGTGACCATGTGGAAGAAATAAGTGACCAAATAAAGACTTGACTATTCAACAAGTATCTCATGCACGATATGAACCTTTAAAAAGAAAGATTCAATAGAAAGGTTTTGGCCAAACCCACGGTATTAGTAGACTAACTGCAAAAACCTGGAAAACCGGGAATCCTCAGGAAATTTTATTTTTCCTTAAAATACCTGGAAGGCTCAGAGAATTTAATAATTTTCTTACTTATGATAGGTTAAGAAAAGAATGAATTTTAAAATACAAGCATTTAATTTTTATCATTATTTACATTCACACTTTGAACTTAATAGATCCACAGTGGACTAATATTCAGTAACAAATAAATTTAAAAAAGAAACAGAGGCTTGAAATGTTATTTTTTTGTTTTGGAACATGCATATTTCCTAGAAATTTTAAATTTGAACTAGTTCTGGACTTAAAAGCTGTAATACTTCAAGAAATTTTCAAGAATCTGGAATCAAAATAAATGTACAGTTTGAAAAGCTCGTGGAATTTTATTATAATTTCTAAAGACCTCATTTCAAGGAAGTACTGGGATTTTTTTTCAGAGAAATATCAAATGCAATCTGCTTTTAAGGTAGTTCTGAGCAATTTTAGATTTCTTGTGAAGCCTGAAAGTTTTGAGTAGAATTTCAAGAAACCCTGAATTGAATTAAAAGCAAATTTTAATGAAAACTCTGATATTCTCTGAGGAGCACAACTCCTTCAGAGCAAAATTCCAAGGGCCTTCTGAGGATAATTTTATAAAGTTGTGTGAGAAAACGATTCCGGAGCATAAGTCCTTTGAATCTTTTTGAAAATACTAAAAGGAGGATTACAATTAAATCTGAGAATAACTCCAGAACATCGTCAATGGAATTCGGAAAATAAATTCAGGAGGTTTTGTCAAACAAATTATGAGAAGAAATCTTAGGAATTGTGAGGAGAAATTCCGCTGAATTCTTATTAGACTTTCAATGTGAGTAGAATTCCAAGGGAAGGAGTGAGATTCAAAAGGAAATCTGAAATGAATTCAATGAATATTTGGAGAATTTCAAGGTAACAGCGAGGGAAACTAAAACAAATTTGAATTAGGAGGATAGCTTTATCGAAATGTCGAGGGATATTTTAATAGAAATCAGAATGGACTATTCTGAGGTCTTCAGAACTACTTGAAAGTTAACAAATTTTCCTGAAGTTAATTAAACTGCTTTGAAGTTCTTTTGTAGTTTGAGAAACTAGCCGGATGCTCACAATACTTCTCATAAAATTCTTAAACTTCCCGGAACTTTATAGGACTTCCTAAAATTTCCTCAATGTTTCTAACGTTGCCTTGAAGTTTCGACAATTTTCCTGTAGTATTACAACCATTATAAACGCTCACTAATTTTCCCTGAATTTATCTATGGTTACCTGAAGTTCTCTAAATTTTAATTTTCTGATCTGATGATTTTCATAATTCCTTGACGCTTCCTGACGTTTTCGGATCAATCATGGAATTCATGGAATACCCCGTAATTCCACGGAACTCGTTGTAAGTCTCTGCAAATTTGCTTAAGTTAATGGGATTATTCTGAAGCTATCTGATCGTCCTTGAAGTACTCGGAACTTCGCTGAATATCATGAAACTATCTAAAAGTATCTAAATTTATCAGAAGTTCTCTGGAATGTCTTGAAGATATCACTGCTTGCTGAAAGTTCTCGCATTTTTTTTTTCAATTAATGGAACTTCGTTGATTTTTACTAATCAATTTAGATAAATTTTCGTATTTTTTAAGTTCTTGAAATCTTCATACACGCTTAAAATACTGTCACGTTTTCCGGATGTTCATATAATTTTTATCACATTCCAGAAATTCTCTCGGAGCTTTGCTGAAGTTTCCGGAAATTTCCTGAGTTTCTCGCAACTTCTTTAAGGTTTCGGCAAAAGTAAGATCTTTCAAGAAACTTTCCCGAAAATATCACAACAAAGTTTGTCCTCTCAAATCTCAAACGACCACGTTTTGTTATTTGAGACATAGATTATTATTAATTCGGATAACTTTTGACTCAGTATGTAGTTGCTAATACGCAGTTTTCAAAGGATTTCAGAAGAGTTCTGTTTAGGTTTTTAAGACAATTCTGCGATGAATTTCGGGTGAGACGGTTCCTTTTTGTTTGTTTAATTTTATTTTAAACAGGATTAGAATTTAAATTTAGGAGCTCGGCTAGATTGACGACTACCGCTTTTGCTTACTGAGTAGAAAATCGTGGGTTTACCAGGGAATCAAGAAAATTCTATCTTCCGATGCTTACCGACGATAAAAATACTAGTAAACGGAATCATGATCAGTGTACAGTAAGATCATGGATTATCATTTGTGCAACACATCATGATCAGCAACAAAAACGATAATCTACTGATATGATAACAATCACTTTGTAATGTATCTCGAAATCTAGGAACTTGCTGTCTTCGGAAAAGTTGTTCTAGAGGTCAAATACCCTACACGCAAACCAAAAATCTATTACAATGAATGTTAGTTCCGTTTCCTATCATCCTCTGTTCATGAACATCGCAACGAATGTTAGAAATTGACCATGCAGGCGATGCAATGGTTTTTTGTCTTTTTTATTTCGTGTTCTATCTACGCTCTCGACTATACCAGTAAGCTTGTAGAACGACGCACATTGTAGAACATTGTAGAACAACGCACACACTTGCCTCGAATCTCTCCAGCAGAAAAAGCATACGAAGTCGAGTATGCGAGAAAATGAGCGGTTCATGTTTGCTTTTAGGCTATCCATATTCAGGAGCATGGAGAGAGCAGTGGAGAAAGCACAGGTCTGATAATCGTAACGTTCGTGGTTCGAGTCCAGCCGGCAGTCTGTTTCCAGTTTTTTTCGACATATCTAATTTCCCTCACTAATACACTCTACATTTTTCGGTCTCCAATTTTCTTGCATTGGAGCACAGCTAGGTATAACGCATCCTTGGTTCATGCGGTCTCCACTAACATCCTCTGATGATGAATCCCATATAATTGTAAGCGAATCTTACATCCCCCGGTTGGGTGTACAATATGGATATTTTTGGAATCGGGATGACACATATATGTTGAAAATCAATGCAGGGCACCATTTTGAAATCCGTCATCTCGCCCGTTGGTTTCGGAAAAAAAAACTGTCAAATACCCTATAATATGGGTATTTCTGAGACTGGAATAACGTGTAGATATCGAAAATCGATGTCCACCGCCATTTTGGAATCCAATTTGGCGGCCTTTGGTTTTAGATAAAATTGTCAAATAAACTACTCAAAATGGCGGCCGACATCGATTTTCGACATCAACACGTCATCCCGGTTTCAAAAGTACCCATATTGTAGGGTACAGTTGTTTTTGAAACCAATAGCCGCCATCTTGGATTCCGAAATACCGGCAGATATTAATTTTCTACATCTGCATGTCATCCCTGTTCCGAAAATACCAATATTGCAGGATAATTGACAGTTTTTTTTCTGAAATCGATGACCATCATCTTGGATTTCCAAATAGCGCCGGACATCAATTTTCGACAGTTTTTTTTAATGGAATGCCCCCATATTGGATTGCAAAATGGCGGCAAACATCGATTTTCGATCTCTATACGTCATCCCCATTCCGAAAATACCCATAGTATTGGGTATTTGTGTAGCTTTGTCCTACATGGGGAATTTTCAGTGACGACAGCTGATGATGATGAACAGAGATTATCGCTATTTCATATGATCATGATCTGTTACACAAATGATAATCGCATTATCGTTTCCAGAACTGTCCATTGTGATTTATGGATTTGTACTAATCATGAGTGTAACCAAAATGAGAATGCCATTATCTTTATCTGAATCGTTGATTTTGATTCCCTGGAGTTTACTCCCAAGCTCCTCGAGAACAAAACAATTACTATGGTCGCATCGCCTGCTTAAGCGAATCCTGACCCATCTCCTACCAAACTATCCAAATCCGTAGCATCTATGGGGGCGCCGGTGAGTCGCTGGCCTCCCGTTAAGTAGATGCTACATCAACAATATTCTTCCTTTCCCCGTAAGGGGCTGTCCATAAACTACGTAGACAGTTTAGGGGGGGGGGGGGTAGTAATTATCCACGGCCTATACAAATTTAAAAAAAAAATTGTGTGGACAATTGTCTACGCAGGGGGAGGGGGGGGGTCAAGAATCCCAGAAACCTGTCTACGCAGTTAATGAACAGCCCATAACGGAGAAAATGTGTGTGGCCGGCAATGGTAATTGTCATGCTTTTCCTGTTCTGAACTTTGATTGGAGAACTATTCACTCCCAAACAGTATGCAATCTACGAATTACTCCGTTACACACGCAACGCACGCAAGACAATTCTGAGATGAATTCCAAGGAAATTCTTAGGAATATTTTAAAGATTAATTTCCAAAAGGGTAGCTTTTACAGAGAATTATGGAGAGAGCATGTTAAAGGAATTATCGTGAGAATGATTGATAATACTAAGATTATCTACGAATTTTCTACAGGGGTTTCTTAAAGCGGTATGTAGAAAATTTCCGAGGTTATTATGGACGACAGTTTCAAGGGAATAACAGAAGGAATTATAAGATGATTCTGGAGAATCCTGAGATGTCTTTAGAATCTTCATTCAAGCAAATTCTTGAGAAAATTCCATAGAAGAATATCATATTCATATTCCTATGAAGAACCACATCTTATATAAATCTGGAAATTATCTAGGTATTTCAAAGATAGATAAATTTTCAAAACCCCGGGCACACAAATTTGGTCATTTTTCAGAGGCCTCCAACAGTTGTGAAGATTTCAAGCAAACAAAAAAAAAGATCCCGGTCTAAGAAAACTCTTCAAAAGGGAAAGCCTGACTCGCACGACATAAGTCGGACCCCATTATATGTAAGTCTCAAGTAACCTCAGGACGGAAAGAGTTATGGGATGGACGGAAAGAGTTATGGGATGCTGAAAAAAACCTAAAGACCTATTGAAATCTAAACCTTCTTAAGTTCTCATCCTCTAGGTAAACATCCTAATTAACATTGCAAGTTTTATTGAGGTTTTAAAGCACTCTGAAAGTCAAAATCATGATCTACAGAACCCTCATAAAATCCTCATTGTTACTTGGGATGTCACGATCAGGTATAAAAATGAAACTGTAACGTGCAGAATCGAAACCTAGCTTACTAATAACCCAGTAGATGTAAGTAATGGGATGTATTTAAAAAAAAATTGTCAGGAGACCTACGAGTGGATTTCAAGGCGATTATAAAGAATTTTTTTGGGGGTTGTGAGGTTCAGATTAATGGCTACGAACATGCCCCATAGTGATCAAATAATATGTGTTCATAATTCTGTGTCAGTGTTCACTCGGCTGTCGACAAAAGCAGGCCACTCTCGATGTGTGCTACGCGATCGTCTGTTTTCTCGGCAGCAACCATTGTGTGGTCCTCCTCATTGTTCTTCATCAGCCGTTCTTTCGGTCGATGCGTCGTCGACTTTGGAAAGCAACCGTTTCGTGATGAGTGTGTGAGTGCTGACCACGTTTTGCGTCCACTGCTGCAATGGACGCGCTCTGACCCTCGTTGGCGTACAACAATTTGCCATACAATGAAACTACTGGAAGCGGCTCCAGTTCTGATGGAGGAGGCTTTTTGGATAGCGGAAGATAAAGTGTTTATTGTGTTGTACCTTTTGACTATAGTTTTAAGATGCATTGTATAGTAACCAAGAATCCTCGGCTCTGTAAAGTTAATTCGGTTGAGCCTTATCAAATAAATTAACAAACAATAATTCTGTGTAACACTTTACACTGTAATATTGCAACTATAGTTTACTCAGTCACGTAAAGCCTCTTGCGATGCTTTCTCACTGTTTTGTAAAAACGGGCCAACCTACGGCTGATAAATTTAATAAAACTCTTTAGAGCTCCTAGAAACTACCGGTTTTAATTTTAAAGGAATCGAATTTAAGGATATCGAAAAAAAAACAATCTTTGTAGAATTTCAAGCTAATGTTTTTTTTTAAATAATTATGACGGAATTTCAACAAATTTCTGTAAGAGTTCCAAAGAAACTCGGGATCATGCATAAACGACGTTGCATTTGGGGGGTAGGTGTTCTGAAGTTGTGATTCGACATGTAGGGGAAATGGCTTTAATGTTGGCCTATGGACCTAAGATTGGGCCCATCGCTAAAAATCTGCTGTTTATCAATTTTATCTAGATGAAGATTAGGAAATTTAGTCGATTGTTGAATTAATGTATGGGCCCAAATTAGGGGCATTTAGGCCGACATTACATCCATTTCCCTAATAGATACATCAAAATACGTTACGAGGGGGGAGGGGAGCGGGGCTGAAATTGATCAAAAATATGCTGCGTAATTTATGGCTGGTCTCTAAGGAAAATTTATAGAAACATCTGAGAAGCAATCCAGGGGTATTCTGAAGAGAGTTCCAAAGGAATACTGAGAAGAATTCCAAGGGAAGAGCTTCAAGGTGATTCCGATCAAAATTGCGAGTAAATCCTAAGGAGAAACTCTGAGGTAAATTCCAACGGTATCTAGAATTGGGTTCTTTAATATTGAAAAATATATCGGTTTTTATATATTGTCTGAAAGAGCTTCGTTTTCTGAGCACAGCGATATTTTTTTCGAACCCACACACTTTCATCTTGATTTTTAAATCAAGATTTAAAGCAAAATAATATCAACACTGTTTGACACTAAACTGACAAACTGACAGCTCACTCCCATACAAAGTGATACCGAGGGGCGCTAATAAGGTGATTTTTGCAAATGTAATCGTACTTATTTAAAATAGTTCCAGTGTACCAAAATTGATGAAATTTTGGGTTTGGGTTCCATTTCTAATGCAGATTACGATATGCATTTACCTCAATACCCTTAAAGAACCCATTTCTTGTTTCAACTGGCCAAGTTTGATTGTTAATCTGGCAATCGATCGTGAGAATATTGAAAAAAAAAAAACTGGTTTTACAAAAACTGCTCTAGAAAACTGAATTGATATACCGACATGAACGACACTTCGTGCATATTAACAAGGTGTATTTTTAATTTGAACTTCTAGTAACCCTACTACTATCAGAAAAAATAGTTTCTGGTAGTCTTAATTGCTGTTTTGTTTTGATTCTGCGTTCCGTTTCACATCGTTCCATTTCGCTTTACTCTAAACCATGTGCTAGATGACGTTTAAGCAATTCTTTGTTTGCACGACGTGCAGATTAAAGCGGGGTTCAAACGTCGGGTCAAACTAAAAAGAGTTCAGATTAAGAACGGTCAGATTACCGGGGATCCATGGTAGAAAGCATGCAGAATTATCACAAGAACCAAAACCTAGTTTGGGAAGTAGAGGGTCCAGAATTCCATGAACTTCCACGAGGTACCTTTAACATTGTTGGGATTTCCTAAATTTGCATGAGGATTTTTGAGCTAATGCTATGTTTTAAAACCTATTCTGAGGTCCCATGACTTTTGTTTAGGTTCCCTGGACATATTTAAACTTTTATGGGTTCCTTGAGTTTCTGGTAATTTAAAACAAAAATTGAATCCCTACTCTGAAATCATTTTAAGTATTTTATGTAAACCGAAAACAGTATTCATCGGTTCAATTTCTTCTATTAATTTGCTCAACGGGATTTTTTGTTGTTGACTGCGTGGAAGTAAGTTTTACTTTCACGATGAAAAACAATGGTTAGCGATTAACGATTAGCGTCCTTATCAGGAGTTACTTCTTTAAGCTATTACGTCAACAGAGCACCCAATCGAATCGAGAAAGCCGCTATCGCTCTGCTCCACTCTCCGACTGGAGCTACTTGGCATTCTATCAATGCAAATGGGGCCGGTGTCCTGGATTTCCCTTTCAGTATCAATTGCTGCACATGCACAACCGACGAAAATAATCTCATCGCCAGCCGCCAGACACATACACAAACACACACACACACAGAGATTTCTTCTCCCATCTGAGACACTTACCACTACGTTATTGTTTGCCAGGTTGAGATTGCCTAACACCGGTGGATTCGGGGGCGGCCCAGACGGACTGTTGCTCTCTGATTTGAAGAACATTTCACGCTTTGACTGGAGCTGTAAATGAACGCAAAGAACAGGAAAGAAGGGGAGAATTAGCACAGACATACTCGTCGGTTCATGGGGGCTAAGCCAATTTAAAGCTGTTGATGTTTTCGAATAATGGAGCGCAGCAGCAAGGAAGAATGCCTACTCCGCCGATAATAGATATATAGGTAAGTAAGTGGTGCTACATTGTGAAGTGGATTGAGGGGGAGAGCTGGTAGCTTGCACGATTCGAAAAAAAGGGGAGCAGAGGGTGGTTGCGGTGTCGGTAATATGTTTCAATAACAAAAACATGGGGAGTGGGACCATGCAACCGTTTCGATAGAGTGCACTCGGCTCGGCGGCCACCAACCAAGGCTGGAACAGGAGCGGAAATAGCGGCAAATTTTCAGTATGGTTTTACAAAATAAACCGAAACAGCCTGTCGTGAATAATTGCACACACACACACAAACACACCAGCCGTTCGTACGTATAACACCAAACGACGCCAGGCGGAATGAAGGGAAATCCGAAAGGAGTCTAAAATCAATATTACAGAATATAAATCCTTTCGCGGACGAACTTGGGGGGAAATAGCTCTGAAACTAAATGAATAAATTTGAATATTGACACCGGCCCGCCGGAAATGTGCTGACAAGACAAATGTAATGCCGCAGTGACGACTTTGCAGGTGGGTGTAAATCAGGAACCGTGTCGTCTTGACATGGTTTTTTGCATTTCCGACCTTCCGGATTGACTCTACTTGTGGTGCCGCCTACATGGATGGAGCTTGTATGTGTGTGTGTGTGGTAAAGGATTTATACGGCCATAACAGCGTAACAAAGGTGCAATATGTGACTACCGCTGGACACACAGTTGTGGTAGATTAAACTTTCATGAAATTGCTCGGAGCGATTCCACTACTGTGTTGATTGAAATATGTATGCATGGTGGCAACTTTTCTAGTATCATCTGGGGCTCATTTTCGCTTCGTATAGAATGGGGTAGTGGTTTTATCTTCTTACAGATGGCTTTTTATTGAAACAGAATACCCATCTAAAGATGAGATATTTATGATGGTTGTGGATTAGTAAATTGAAACATCGATCCAATTAATCTTAACTGATGCAGGACTTGAGATTCGATCGCAAATTTAGGTCTATCGTCGGCCACAGAAGTGCTGGAAAACAAATTCTGGATGACCAGAAAGTTTAAAAAAAATATGTTATGTTCAAAAAGTCATTGGGAAATTCTAGATTTCTTTTTAAGGATGTTGTTTTCAGTCCATTTCTTGAGTTTTCAGTGTTTTTTTTCATGCAAAAAAATACTAAATCCCCACTTCAATTTGTTGTGACATTAATTCAGGTTAATACATTTAATTCTTATGACAAGCACAAACATAATGTTGTCGACTCAATGATGAAAACCAAACTCCCTGATATCCAGTCATTTTTGAAAAAAAAAAATAAACTACAAGGGACAGCCCTATGTGGTTGTACGTAATGGTGACGAAGGACTATGTGGTATTGTAGAATAAATCTTATTTGTTAACTGCAGCAGGAGCTTGTGTTTTGTGTAGGAATAGGAATTTGAGCGGAGTTTTTTTTTGTTTATAATCTTTAGCATGACGCGCTTGGTATAGATGGCCCACAGCGACTCACGAAGAGCTGCTGATTCCGATCAATAGCAGTGCGGCTTCTTCCTCCTTCTATGGATGCTCATGTGGGCTAACCCTCGCTGCTTGAAGGCAGCCTTTCGTTGTGTACTGGAGAACACCAGCACTCACCACGCGGTGATTGAATAAACACCGGATGGAATACAACTTTCAAATCTGTGTCAGGGAAATCGCTTTTCGCGGGCAATCGGTGATAGTTTTAATTATCATAGTAACAGTTGCATATTCGGGCAATTTTCAATAGTGACATTTTGAAAAATGATAAAGTCTTAAATTTAACAGATGCGTAGAAATATTTCTGATCGATTGGTGATAAAATTAATTAAATTGGTCAAGAGGCAGCTGAGTTATCATCATTCAAAATCTTTCATAATTTTGTTACATGTTCCATTTTCGGTTTTCACAAAGTGTACCCCTATATAGAAATCACAGAAGTAGTCCTACGTCAAAAATCTGATACAGTGCCTATCGGGTTTTGCAACAAGACCTCATTAGCTATTACTTTCTCAGATATGTACTAGTGCTTTCTGGGCATTTTTTCATGAAATATCCCATGGACCTCAAACATTGGATTCGATACATTTTATAGATTGCAAAAAAGACAGAAATTGCGTGTTACCAAAAACGGAAAGGCTGCGCATTTTTAAAAATTCACAAATTTTAAAAGAAGTCAGCGCCAGGTTATCAGTGCAAGAAGCAACCTGCATGTTAATATGACTAATGTGTGAAGGAAACTGCAACCTTTCTCGATATAAATCTACAAAAACGGCTAAGGGATTAAAATCTTTACAGCAAGTTCATGATCCACTTCTTACCAGCTTACCTCGATACGAGAAAAGATCGTTGGCATGGCAGTTCCTTCACTCTTAGAAGTTTTTTTTTTGACTGTTTTCGAGCTCAACGCTAGGAGCAGAAATGTTCTGTTCTCGTACATCTTACATATGAAACACTTGTCTTTATTCCCATGATATGTTTTCTCCCTTGAGCACGTTTTGAGGCCCAGCTCCAAACGTTAATTCGCGACCAAATTCCTCCGGTGAGAAATCGTAGAAATAGCGCTTTCACCTCCAAAATTCTGTAACTTGATTCCATCTCAATTGCAATTACAGCAAGATCGCAATAGGGTAGAGCACTACTTCGTCGTAATCGCCCATTTCCGTTCTATCGATCAGAAAAGATCAATGATATCAATGATTGCACCATGTACAAATCAATAATAGGTTTGTTCTGATGCGTAGGTTCATTAGCTACAACATAAATCCAGTTAGAGCGCATTATATGAATATTTACGCTCATTGTTCTCAAAACAAAAGAAGCGCTCCTAGCGAATCCTCTTTTTCTACGTTTATCCGTAGGACGAAGAAAATCTAATGGCGTTTCAATGCGTTAGGACGGAAATGAAACTCGTAGAACGAAATTAGAATCAAGAAACAGTGTTAGATTTTAAACAATATCTCAACAATTTGTGACTCTTTATTAAATCCGACGGTACGCATGGAAAGGTGAATGCATTTAGAAGTCATTGACAGAAATATTCCATTTTTTGTTTAAACTCGTTCAGAAAAGAGAGGTAAAGCGCGGGTTGTGCTTAGTACGACGGAAATTAGATCAAAAACCCTACTAATACTTCACTGAGAAGCTAATTTTCCGAGCTAACCAGGTCTACAATTAAGATTTAGGCGTTCAAAGGATTGATTTTTTTGGACACAGCTGGATCGAGCAGGCGCACCAATCTACTAATAAGTAAAGTCACTGAAGAAGTCTGCAAATAGTAGACGAAATACGCGTATCTGTCAAGGATAAGCAATTAAGGTAGAGGAATTAAATGGAAATTATTGAACCTTCTCTCTTTCTTTATACAGGTATTACTCTATAGACGCCCACATTTATCAAGATTCATATACAGTGTATCTCAAAATTGGCCGTACAGATGTCATTAAATTTTAGAAAAACAAAATCAGAATCATGAGAACTCTTCTTTGCATGAGAATCAATTTTCTTTTTTATATCTTGATTTTACTTCTGTGATGCCGAAAAAAAAATCTATGTTTTCATCATCTGATAGTCTTGGAACTTACACAGGATTTTTTTTTCAGAAGAATCTCAACACTTCCTCAGAACTCTTTCTGGTATTTGCTTACAATTTGCTAAATAGCACCCTACGAATTCTCTCTAGAAGGCTCTGAAATTCTCCTAAAAATCTTAATTGGGTTCGCTTTATTACCTTGGTATCACCCAAAGAATTCTTCTGAAATAAATTCTCCTCAGTATTCACTAACTATTCTCCTAAAATTCCCAATGAATTATCTTTGAAATTTCTTCTAAATTTCACACAAGATTCCTTCGAAGTAGTCCAATAAATTCCATGAAACGCTGCTCAGAATTCCCAAGGAACACTTTTTTGAGTTTCCTAAAAAAAATATTTCAGGGAATTTACCCTTACTTGGTTGGAAATCCACAGAATTCTAATTGAATTCTTTTCAGAGTTAGGAAATTTAGGAAGGATCTTTACATTTTCCATCTTCTCTTGAAATTCAACTCACAAGAACTTTGAAGTTCTCCTTAGAAGTCTATTGATATTCTCCTCAAAATTACTTTGCCATTTCAGTCAAAACTCTCTTCGAATTCTCTTTGGAATTTCCTTGGAATCCTCTTCTAGAATTCTGTTGGAAATTTACTTTGAATCCTACTCATAATTCTTATGGGATTCCGCGCTCAGAAATACCATGAAATTCTCCATACATTTCGCCTGGGATTGGGGGCTCAACAGAGCTAACTTGAAATGGATCCTCAGAGTTCACTTCAAGTTTTCCTAACAATTCCACAGCAAAATATAAGATCACATTATGAAAATCCACCAATTTTTGTAAGGAGGTGATGTATGAAAATTAGCAGTAGTAGGCATCATATTTAGGATTGTACTAAGTTATTTTTTTTTCATGCGACAATTTTGACGTTCGTGTCTCAACAAGGGGTTGAAACAGTTCTAGATACACTCTCAGACTTTCTCTTTCGTCAATAACTCAGGAGCAAAACCTTTCCCTGTTGTATTTGACGTTTTGGTCGCTAGATAAGAACCTCTTTTATCAAACTGTGCGGTAGAATTAGCGTGAAATCTGTTTGCATAGCAGTTGTTATGCAAAGAGAAAGTCGATGAAGAGAATCGGTCAAAGCAGATAGGACCATTTGAAATGTTCATCGAGAGTTGACGTTTTTTACTACACTCGCTTCGTTGTCGTGCGCGACAGTCTGTTTTTATTTGAACACTCATGCTCTACCGTCGTCTCTTTCACACAAAACGAGCGGCAGAATAACATTCAAGCTAAAAGAAAATTATCAAAATAGCTATCATATGA